TTCCCCTTGAATTCACATACTGCAAAAACTGGATAAATATATTTAAATGCAAACTTGCATCCTTGTTGTAACTGTGGTATAACTGTGGTAATAGTATGGTTGCAGGGCTGAGCCTTGGTAACAAAATGCACAATCTATTTTCAACTTATGCAAGAATATATTTCAACAGCAATACATAGGCAAACTGTAAGAACGACCTCCATTTTCCTTGAAGTGTGCCCTGCATTACCAAGTGCACATAGGGTGATGATATCAGAAAGACATTACAGACTTTGCTGGCTTGCCCAAGACAACTTTAATAAATGGAAGGGCCCAGTTCTATTTCAGGACAGTGGAAGGTTGTGCTGTTCCCCTATGAAACGCACTGGAATGGTCATAAACACCATCCACCTCAGAGCACTTAAGACAGTAATTGTACAGTTACTGTAAGGCACAAGTGAATTAAATCCTTCTTTTAACAGCCTTTCAGTATCTCATGGGGGACTGCAAAAAAGAAGGTGACAGACTCTTTAGCAGGGTCTGCCGTGACAGGACAAGGAGAACGGTTTCAAACTAAAAGAGGGGAGATTTAGACTGGATATGAGGAATTTTTTTATGGAAGGGTATTGAAACGCTGGAACAGGTTGCTAGAGATGTGGTGGAAGCCTCATCCTTGGAGAAATTCAAGATCAGGCTGGATGGGGCAATCTGAGCAATGTGGACCAGGTGACATTTAAAGATCCTTCCCAGCTCAAAACAATTATTTGATTCTATGATATGCTGAAATAAAGCCTTTGCTAAGGTGTGGACTTCAATATTCAGTAGAAATTAAAGCTTGGAGCCAGAAACCAAGATGAAGGGATGTCTGCATTTTGGATAGGATAGGGCACCTTTGGATAGGTGCTTAAGCTTCACGTTTTGGGTGACTGTTTTTTGTCTCTTAGAAATAACAGTGTTCCTCTTGCCTGCCCGAGGCCATCCCTAGTCACTCACCAGGGACTGGACCTTAGGTACTCTTCAGTGATCCTTTCTCAGTCTGCCTTGTGAGATGAGGACAACAGGCACACAAGTGAGAGACCAGTCTTTCGAGCTATTTTTTGTCTTCAGCAGGCAGTTATATCTGACTAAAATGCTCCTACATATCTGCTTTGGTGTCCCCCTCAGGACTTTCAAAGCGGTATTTCAGTCATATGAACCAGAGAGCCCGCAAGAATTCCTTGTCCGTAAGTGACTGAAGTTGTGTTTAATGCTCTAGAACAACCCTATTGCAACATCGCAGTGATATCTTCCAAACCCAGCTCTTTATAAAGGCCGTATTGTATGCCAGACTGATGTTAACACACATGATTTAAATGATGACACAAGCAAAACTTCTGCTCTAAAATGAGGAAATTAAAAATACCAAAATATTATCTTTCCTCTTGCCAATGAGAACAGCTGGCAGGATTGGTTTACTGAACAAAACTTTGGCCAGCAGACATGGGTTATCATTTTCACAGACTTTCCCTCTGAAATACAGCATTAACAAAACGTGCTATTTTTTTTTTTTTTATTTTATTTTGAAATTGGAGGGTTTGTGCCTTTCATCTGGTGAAATTTAGCGTAAAAGTGAAAATAATATCAAAGTTACAGGCGTCATAGGGAGGCTGTTAATGTGGGAACAAAGGGCATTTGGCCAGTTAAAATAATAAAAGGCTATACAACGTTCCCAGTGATGGCTGAAGCCCAATTAGTACTTTCCAAGCAGAGCCGCAATATTCCTCTCCAGATTATGCGGTTTGGCATGATTCAGAATGAGTAAACTTGCTGTCCTACAAGGGGAAAATATAATTAACAGAAAAAGAAAAGTAAGGTCATGCAGCATTACGCTTTAAATAAGCAGTAATACACCATGGGATGTACATTAATCAGTCAATATTAATACACCTTGGACAGGCTGAGGCAGAGGCAAAACAGTGTCTCAACATACAAAAAGATGCATACGTTATCCTGATAAAACTTGCACCTATGTGCAAGATTGAAATGCAAATTAATACTGTATTTCCTTAGTCGATGATAGGAAGGGAATGTGGATTCAGTGCTCATTGCACTGTACTCAAACATACTTCTTGAGAAGTACACTTTCTACTAATATTATATACTTTCAAGCAAAATGTGCTTTAGCTATTTTCCCTTTGTTTGAACACCTGTTTTTTGTTTTGTTTTGTTTTTACTGTGCTGCTGCTGAAGGCACAATGGTTTGGAAGATTCTTTTTTTCTTAATTTGATAAAAGGGCTTGCAACCAAGATACACAGAAAGGCACTCAGAGTCTGTTCTTATACTAAACAACTTCTCAGGACTCTGGAAGTGACACAAAGCCTTTGAAGACTCAACAAACCTGGAAATAAACTGGCAGGATTAGAAAAACAAAAGAGGTTTTTCCAATATGGAGGTGAACGTGCAAATGAATTGGGGTTTTGGGGAAAATGAATGTGCAATGAATAAGGGTTGTTCATTTTTTTTTCTTCTGACTAGTTTTCAACGGTGTTTTTAAAATGAGCAGAACGTTCAGCAGAAGCTCAGAAAGAGGGGAACACATGTAAAGCAAAGGAAAGCATGGTAACCCAGGGTAAACATATAGTATGGCAGCAGAATGAAAACAGCCCTGCTGAGAGATCTGCTTATTGCTCAGCTAATTATGCTGTTCATGAGAAAGCAGAGTAATATGCTGGGAGGAAGATGAAAAAAAAAGAAGAAAAATAAGACTTCAAAAACCTGGGAACCACTCCCATCACCTGAAGCTTAGACCACACACCTGAAAGGGAGGCACCCACATCCAGTCCCAACAGAGAGTGAGAACATCCTTATCTTCCTTTCAACTCCACCATTTTGCAGTTACCTTATGTACTTACAGAGAGTGTTTGCAAGGGAGGAATTGCTTTATCATTTCCTGCTTCAATAGCTACAATAACCTGTGATATCGGACACTTTAATGAGCTGCAGTGCAGCTCCTGCATTACTGTCCCAAGTTTGGTCCAGTCCCAGCCCCACACGTGTCTCCTTGCTCTGTGAAGATCCCACACAGTCATCTGAACAGCCCTACCTGCTGTAGTTGTGTGGGCAAAGGAGGAGGAAATGCATGTGCAGTGGATGGAGGAGAATGTTTGTGACCTGCTGTATTTCTAAGTTAATCCGCAAGTCAGTAACTGATTGTATGCAGCACTCTGCCATCATCTACACAAGTTAAGATATGCCCTGAAACACCTGCTTTTAAGGAGTTACTTGAAAGACAGGAAAATCCTCATGAGCCATAGAATTGCTCTAAGCATTTAAACCGATTCAAAGAAGGGGGAAAAAAAAGGCCAAGAGCCTTGTACTGTAGACTCTATGATTTTAAATTGCTCCCACCTCTGACAGACTGAAGGGAAAGAGGAGGCAGCACTGGGGCAAAGCTCCGAGAGAGCGTGAGAGCATCACTGCTGATGCACAGCCTCTTCTCCTCAGAGCTGAACTGCCTGCACTTCTGTTCTTGAATCAGCACATCTCTTCTTACAGTGTGAAACTGCAGCTTGTGAAATCCTTCCGCTGGACATACAACAGAACAAGTTTTGCTCTTCAGAGTTTCACCACGTGTTCCACCATAACCTCTCTATCTAAAAACATACCTTAACCCTCTTCTTAAGACAGATTCACCTCACTGATTTTAAGGAATAGAGGTATATAATTCTGTGTCCTAACAGATTTATGCAACATAAGCATGAAGAAATGAAAATGATACGTAAATACAAAGAAGGACCAAAGATTTCTATGCACAAAGACAACTCCTCTATATCAGCATGCTGATAAATCTACTTTTAGGAAACAAAAGCCTGATTTCACCTTAAATCAGAGCACCAAAAAATCTTTTGGAAAGGAACCCACCACAAGAAATTAAGAGTAAATGACTGAAATGAACAAATCTTTATTTTAGAAAAGATGTTCTGAATAGTTCTTCATATAAATATCTAATGGGTTTTTACTTTGTATTAACTAATTGATGAGGCAAACAGCTTTTGATATGCACACAACTTTCTTAGCTTGAAAATTTTTTATTGATTTTAAGTTTTAAATGACATCAGAATGTTTTGCACAAGAGGAAAAATCATTTCACACTAAGAAAATAATGGAATATTTCTCATACAAATAACCGTTCAAGGGTGGCTCTGCGCTCTGAAGCCCCCCAAGCTGTTTCTAATAGCTTAACAGCTGTTTTCTGCATAGAAGATTTATTAATGGCAAAATTATGCCACGGAAAAAGCACCTCGTCAAACAGGAATCCCAACGTTTACCTGCAAAAACCACTATCCTTGCACACAGCAATTGTAGTTTATTTTCCTTGTGTTTATGTTCTTGCAGTGCTTTCATCACCCCTGTGGCTCCCTGTATCCTCCAGCGCTATATTAAGCAATGCCACTGATATCTGTCACGTGTAGTTTAATTCTTTCTTAATTAGCCTAGCACCTCTATCTGACTAAAATCCATCATACGGTGTTATCATCTATGGCACGCTTTACTTTGTGTCATGTTTCTCTTTGTAAGGTGGTCTGTGAATCGCTTTCCTTTAGCAACTCAGTAAGGCTGTCGTTACTGAAAGAGGACAATGACAAAGCTCTGTCCCAGTGTGGCAAATACTTCAGCTACCTTCAACCAGCAAAACAGAAAGTGAATTAGGGGAAAAGGTTGCTTTCACATTAATCTTGTCGTGCCAGAATGATCATTTGGTTACACCCTGCTGCAAACGTCGGATGTCTGAACTTGTCTGAAACGTTTCTTAAAAATCATGAGTTGGAGGTCAAATGAAGTAATCTCTTCTAACAGAAATACCACCTCTTTTATTTTTGAAGCCACTATCTTCATATGCTAGGTTTATAGACATCATAGATCCCAGGATTTATAGAATCAAAGTCTTCCAAACCCACCTTAACAAGATGAAAAATAAGAAGACTCCTTCCTCCTTTGATGAAAGTCATTACGTTAACACTGAAAAATGTCCACAGCTTACCTGCTTGGTATACCAGCCATCAGTCCACAGCTATCAGCTCCACAGGGATTCTCTAAACAGAATGCAACACATTAAAACATGACCAGAAACACACCAAAAATTTAATGTGTTCACTTAATCACTTCAACATCAAAGAAGGAATTACACAGCAACAGTCAAGGAGGGCACATTAAGTAGAACTACTTTTAATAACTTAATAAAATAATCCTGCATAAATACAAATTCCCATCCCAATACGCAGATTCTCATCAACATTAAAACTGACAGAAAGATTTTTCAAGAATTCTATTAAGCTGTACATCCCAGGAATTAATTCCTTTCTGAATAAATTTTCTCTTCCTAGTACTCTTAGAAAAGAAAAAGAAAAAAAACAAATTATAACACATTTTTAAAAGATTTATCTTTCTCCCTCCAAAAAATCCCTCAAAAGCCTACCTTGACTTTCTAATAAATAGAGAAGCTCTTCCTAGGAAGTGTGACATGCACAAGTCTACTCTCTTTAATTTTACAACCACAAGTGTTTAAAATTGCACTCTTCCATGCCAAAATAAGGAAATTGAAATCCTTTTCTCAAAGTTTCAAAGTTCACAAATTCCCAGATACTGGAACTAATAGTCCAAAATCATTAAAGATGCTTCTGAAAATGTCACTGTTTTTTAAAAGCTAATAGGCACAGATACTTTGTTCCAAATGCGTGACCCTTAAGATGGAGCTTCTACAACCACAGCATCAAAAAGCTTTTTACTGTGAACAACTCTAAAAGTATTGATGCAATTAAGTAAATATTAATTTATTCGGAACAGTCACGTAAGGAACATATTTCATTGGTACACCAAACCATTTCTAGGAAGTGACCTGTGGATAATACTGTCTCTACAGACCTGTCTACCACAGAGACTACCAAAAGTATTTTGCTATGGATACCACTACTATTTTCTGTTAGTTTTCTACCACTATCATGGTAGAACCAGGAGCCAAAACTGTGTGTTAAGCTTTAGTTCCATACCAGAAAAGATGTTCAGCTGTTTGGGCAGTGAATGCAATCCCAAAGGCTTTTTCCCAGCTTCTCTGAGGAGGTGTTGGGCTAAGCCCCATATACCTTGCATGCCACACTGAGAGATTCTGTGAGTTTGGGTTCTCCTGCTCTAGGACGTCTGAGAATTTTTTCTCCAAGACAAATAAAATTCAATACTCAAGCATTTCTGTGTACATAAGACAAACAAACAAACAACAGCAACAAAACCACCACATTCCTAAGGTACTTTCTGCATTTAAAACATTATGTTCTCTTACACCATACTTCCAAAATTTCTTATTCCTTAATCATTCCCTGTGCTTTCAGTGTGATGTCTCCCTTTGTCTTGCAGCACTATTCCTTTATATTTTTCTATTATGTTTGGCATCAGTTTATCCAAGACATGTATTACCTTTGGAAGAAGTACATTGAGTATACACACAGTTAAAGTATCTTTGAAACATGTAATGTAGGCAAAAGATCAATTAAAAGACCAGCATAAACTAGAAGCATATCAGTTGCAAGCAACATAGAAGATAGATCTGGGTATGTGTATTAGGTGACGGTGCAGTTATTAAGTTGTCAGTGGGATGCAACAGTGAAAAGATAAATGTCATGCAAAGATGGGCAACTTACAAAATTTCTTGCAGAAACAGCTATACTTCAGTTTAAGGCACCTGAGGGATCTAAAACAGATTTTTCTCATCATGATCGTGAAAGATGAAATAGGTTAAGAGCTGCAGTAATTACTAGGCAGAAGTCTTTTTGTGAGAAAGGCTGCACTATTTTTACTTGTTTAGTCTAGCTGAAACAAAGGCTGATACAGAAAATAATTATCCTCTAAAAACACAATAGGCTGGTAAACAGTAGACAGAAAAAAGAACTATTTACTCTACTGGACAATGTTGGCACAAGAACACGTGGGTGAGATTTGGACACAAATAAATGTAGGCTGGAAACTGGAAGGTTTCTGACTAGAAAAGTGGTGAGATTCTAGAGTAGTTTTTTAATAGATGTAGTGGGAAGGAAAAAAAAAACACAACAAAAAATCCATCTGCAAACTATTTAACGCAGAGGATTGCTAAGATAATGGAAAACTCTAGAGGCGTATTTCTCATGTAGGTAAGAACAGTATTTTGATCATTCCAGCATAATTGGTGCCCATTTTCTGAAAGCAGGATTAAAATATATATATACACATGACTATATAGAAATCAAACCGTATTTTGTATTTATATTTAATCGCATTTATGTATTAGAAATGTTGCTTAAGCAAATGTCATCCATATGTGGATGGTATCTGTAATCACGTTTGTGTTTGTGTAACTGTTTGTGTAAACACTTTAACTTGATAAAAGGCATCACGTTGTATTCCAGTGTCTGGAAGCTGATTTTTCTGACTGGAAAGATGCAATTTGTCACATGCTAATTTTCTTTCTTCTCTGTTTTCTTTTTATGCTCTATTTTTGCTTTGTCAGCAAATCCAAGGAGCAGAAGGAAAAAGTAAATATTGCAAAGGCAAAATTGTAGAATAAAGATATTCCTCTACCAGTGCCAAAATATAAACAAGTGACAGAATCCCACTGAAAACAGGGAAATGGTTGCATATACGTATTTGAAAGTCGTGTCAAATTTGTGTGTAGACATCTGTATACAATTATACACATATTTTCATCATAAACAGATTATCATTTATATTATTTCTGTGAGGCCATTTTAAAAAGATTTATTGTGGAGGAAGCGATATTATAAACTGGAGTATGCATAAGCTATTAGCTTACAGTTCATAACTGCTCATCAAATATTACAAAAATATATCAAAGCATGATATAATAGGATATCAAAAGTCACACTTGTTACTGTACTTGGCCAGATTGTGGAGTATGATGGCTGTAACACACAGAGAAAAAGGGCACAGAGAAACTCCCTGCCTTGATAATGGAGAAGAAGCACAATTACATAGGCTGGCTATAAGAGGCTACACTCCACCTGCTGAAAAAAAATGTAATAGCCCTCAAAGTGACAGAATTAAATTAGAAAAATTTATCTAAACAAGAAAAAAAGCATGTCCATATGATATATGTGCAGTATTAAAAAAGAAATGGCGAGTTAATTTGATTATTGAAATGAATTTGATTAAAGTGACACAAAATTTTGCTTGGAATTTTCCTATGCTGATTTCTTTTTGCACACCTAATATTGAAATGTGCTGTTTCTTTCCCAAAGAAGATCCGAATGCCTGCCTTTCTTCCACCAATAAAGGACAGAAGTATGTGTTTGGAAGCACATATGTTTATGGGTAGTTATAGATTTAAGGATGAACTGTCTGAAATAGAGCAAAAACAGACATTTTCATACTTGTCCAGTTTTGTTGCTGACTGCAATCCAGTCGTGCAAAGACGCAGTAAAAATAATGCGAAATAATTAAAAATATGAAACTCAAATTTTGATTCACTTTAATTCAACGTTCAGCAGGCATCCATGAATGTTGGTTGGTGCCATTTTTTCCACATGGAGGAATTGAGTGACACCTTTTCTTCATACACACTCCCATGTCAGGCTGCCCTTCTGCTGCCCTCTGTGACATGGCAACAAAATGAAGCAGCATATTGGCAGGCAGGTTCAAACCTCTACTGCCATACCACCAACTTTCACTTCCAGTGTTACAGATCAGCATAATAAAATAGGAGGCATTATTTTTGGAGAGCCCTCATAGAACATTCGGGACACTGGCAGGTGGAAGTCGTGCAAATCAAATTACATTTTGCTACATGTAAATGTATAATGTTATGAGAGCAATTGGTTAGTTGTTATTATTATTATCATTATATTCATTTTTTCTAGCACCTAATCAGAGCCTGAAATGACAGCTTTTTTCTTCAAGGGTTTGATGGTATTTTCTCTCTTTTAAATGCAATCATCAATCCAACACTACATTTGCATGCTTTTAATAAAAATAGATGAGAATTGCAGTGAGGTTGTTCAAGAAAAGGTGGTTGCATGTATAATGTGAATCTTTCAGATTTTAGTTCGTAGCTTTGTTCTGCCTGTTTTTTAAAAGTAATCTCAAAGCAGCACATTGCTTTCTCACATGGTGATTGTTCATCAGCCGGATGAGAATCAGCTCCCAAGTGTAACTCTTTTGTTTTCCCTTCATGTGGTGCTTTGCACAATCATACTGATGTTTTCTGCAAGAAATGTGAATAGTATATAAAAATGCAATTCTTTTCCAGACTATTGTTATGAATGCACTGAAACTCTAGAAGAAATTGAACTATTAATCTACCAAGAAGGTAATAATTTCAGAGATGTATACCAGCCAAGAGTCCCTGGGCCACTGCTATAGTGGAAAATGAAAGGACCTCTCTTAATCCAAGAAGGTTGGGAATTTTTCTATATCAAATTATGGCAACATTTTAACACTTTACAGATAAACTAGAATGACAACTACAGTTTGGTAGTCAGCCTTTTATTTTTCACTCCTGCTATTTCCCCAGAGTACCACTCAAAATTCATTCAAGTAGTCAACTTCACAACTTTTGTTTATTAGTGATACAATCACCAAATTTTGTGTATATATACACATACACATGCATGTGTATATTTATTCCCAAGTACAGAGTGAGGTTATTCTTATTGCTATTAAGGAAAATAAATTCATAGTAAAATTATTATTTTCCCAGTAAAATGGAGGTATGCACATACAAATCTGTATGTGGCTTAGGCAAAGGAACAGCATGCAGGTAACACTAACTTCCATTAAAGCTTCTCAATGTTTCTCACCATGACCTTGTTCTGTGCTGCCTACAATACTAACAGACTTCATTCAATTAGAAAATTCCATATGGGGCATTTGCATCAGATGGGGAATGATAAAGGAGGCATTCTCCCTGGGAAACAAAAAAACACAAGCTCAACTTTTTTGTGTGTGGCTGATGGGAGTATAAAGAAGAGTAGCAAAGGAAAGTCTGTGTAGAAAATATTGGGATTGACCATCCAAAGACTTGGAATGGAGTGGTACTGATGCAGAGTTGTTG